GTTGGTGGGTTGGTGGGGCGCATCCCGAGAGGCCTCTGGTGGCCCTGAGCTGCGGGCACTTGGACCTGGCGACAGAGGGTCAGGTGGAAGTGGACCCATCAGATGCCGTGTGGGCCCCTGGCCCTTCGCCCTGCCGGACCCGAAACTGAGACCCAGTAACTGTCCCCCCTCCCGGGCCCTTTGCCTCTGGCACCTGGGAGGCCCTGGGTTCGAGCCCTCGCCTACTGAGAGGAGAGAGAGGGAGCAGATGGGGGGGGGGTTGTCCCAGGGGAAGAACTCTGCCCTCTGGGGTGCCGCTGCTCCCGGCTGCACTGGGACAGTTGCAGAGCTGCCTGGGCCAGGTCTGGGCCCCGCAGGGGTGGGCAGAGTGCCCACTGGCTGAGGCCTGAGATGGGGCCCCTGAATTCCCGCCATCCTGTAAATGAAGGAGAGCAATTTGCAGAGGTGGGGGGCGGAGTCTGTAGGAAAGAAGGAGGTGTGTGTGTGTGGGGGGGCGGCTTTTGTCTTAAGACTTACCATCCTTTTTTTTAAAAAAACTTTGGTTTGGGGTCAACCCCCGTGGCTTGCCTGGGCTTGGCCTGTGCGCCTGAGGCCACGTTCGACCCTGCTCTGGGCTCCCGGGCTATCAGTGCCTGCCACATTCCTTCCCTCCTACCTGGGTTCCTTCTTCCCTCTGCATTTCATCAGGCTCGCCTGTTTGCTCTGGGCCTGTTTGCTCTGGGGTCTCGGGTCACTCCTGTTGGTGCCTAGAGGCTGTTCTGGCTCTAAACTCTGGAGTGACCCCTGGCCGGGTCCCCTTGGGGGACCTCGTGTGGTGCCTTGGATCAAACTGGGGTCAGCTGCAGGCAAGGCAAGTACCTTACCTCCAGTGCTGTCTCTCTGGCCCCAGTATACAGTGCGTACGTGCGTGTGTGTGTGTGTGTGTGTGTGTGTGTGTCTGTGTGCGCGCATGCGTGTGTGACCCACACCCAGCAGAGCTGCCTGCTTTCTCTTGGCTCTGTGCTCAGGATGACACCTAGTGGGCACCAGGACTGTCCTCTTGCAAGGCGTCCACCCTGCTCTACGCTCCCCATCATGATGTGTTTTTTATCGGAAGCCGTTTCCGTCAGCTGACGCCGCGTCCTCCGTGTGCCCTGTCTTCCCAGTGACGTTGCCCCAGACTCCGGGGCTCTTCTCTCCGCCCGCGTTCCAGAGTGTCGCCGTGTTGACGGGCCTTTCGGCGAGCGGGTGATGTCACATAGGCCACGGCTGGTTTGGTGTGGTTTCGAGCGCTGGTTCCCGGGGCCGGGTTTCTGGAAATCTCGGATTCAGGCTGCGAGAAAGGAAGGGCCCCTCGCTGTGGCCCCTCGCCGTGGCCCCTCAAGGTCCACACTGCCTCCAGGCCTGCCTGAGATGCTCCTTCCTCTGGGAGCCTCGGAGGCCCATCCCCCGCCTCCGGAGCCCACCCCTCTCCCCTCCCAGCTCCACACCTCACTTTGTCCCGCCACCCTCCAGCTGCTGTGCCTGTGACCAGCCCTGTCCTGGGGACAGGGTGCTGGGACACCGTCCTTTGGGGGCAGCAGCACACAGTGCGTGTTAGGGGGCCACGTTGCCAAGAGTGAAAGGGGGCTGGGGTTTGAGCCGTGCCCCAGAGACAGCGAAGTCATCGCCGCCGCCACCACCCCTCCCCTGACCCCCCCTCGCCTCGGGATGGTGGGCAGACCTGGGTGGGGGCGTCTGAGCTGCCAGTGGGTGCTGCCATTCTGGGCACAGCCGCATGAGCACCGACATCCTGGGTTTGGCCTGGGCCCCCAGGAAGTCCTTTAAGGCTCACTCAAGCATCACTTGGCTACGGCGCCACGCCCCCGTGATACGCACCAGTTCCCTGGCCTTGTTTGGGGCCACACCTTTGCCTGCTCGGGGCCACATGGGTGACGCCGGGTTCAACTGGGTCCCAGCACCCCGGCGGCCCAGCTGTCTCCCCACCCCTCCCTGCGGCTCTCGGGTGCCCATCACTCGGCATCAGAGGGTCTGCCCTTGGCCGCCAGCCTGCCCTTGCCCCTCCGGGCTTCTCTTCTTGGCTGGTTTTCTTGGCCTGTTCTCGTTCTTTCGGTGCATTGGTGGGACCGTCCCCTCGAGCCCAGGTGCAGGGGCGTCCCTCCGAGCAAGGCTTTCCCTGCCACTCAGTCACACCGCTGGGTCCGTCTGCCCGTTCCTTGTCTCCGCTCTCCCCGGGCTCCGGGCTCCGTTCCACCCTGCCCTTCGTTCCACCCTCCCCTCGGGAGGCGTCGCCGCGTCTGGAATCTGCCCCTTTCTCAGCCTCTGTGCGTTTACTCGGCACCTCCCAGGCGGCGGCGACTTGTGGCATTTGTCTGGTCAGTGGGATCCGCGCAGTTGCTGCCCAGGATGCTGAGGCCTGGTGCCGCCTGGGGCAGGGCTCGCTGGGAAGGAAACATCCCCAGTGGTGGTGGCCCCCGGCCCCTGGTGGCAGAGGCTCCCTCGAGCCTGTCGCACGTCTGGAAACGGTCACATGCAGAAGTGATGCCTCCGTTTGTGTTTTGTTTTTGCTTTTTGTGTGTGTGTTGCTGGGGGGGGGGGGGGGGGGGGCGTGTGTTACTCCCAGCATTGCACAGGGATTGCTCCTGGCGGTGCTCGGGGGACCATATGGGATGCCGGGAATCGAACCCGGGTTGGCCGCGTGCAAGGCAAACGCCCTCCCCGCTGTGCTGTCACTTCAGTCCCAAGTGAGGCCTTCTGAGTGGACGTGTTGATGGAGAGTTTTATCGATTCGCCTATTCCTGGCTTTGGGGCTACACTCGGCGGTGCTCAGGGTTTACTCTGCACTCAGGACCACGCCTCGTGAGCGTGGGGGACCCTATGGGATGCCGGGGATAGAACCAGGTCGGGCCTGTCCAGGGCACACACCCTCCCCGCTGTCCTAGGGCTCCAGCCCCCTGACGGCCGTTTTTAAGCAGCAGACTGACCCTGACCCTTCAGTTATTCTGGGATCGTCCGTTACTGATCCGGCAGCTCTCGGCCTGTTTTAACCGACATTTAGGATCCTAACAAATTCTAATTTACAATTTAGAATGGCAAATTTATTCTAAATGAATCTGGTCAAAATTAAAAATTCTTTTTTTTTTTTGCAAACTTGGTTTCCTTCTAAACTTTTTTTTTTTTTAATTTAAATCCTTGGCTTTTTGCTTCAGCAGGGTTTACCAGATGCTTTGGGGGGGTAGCACTCCCGCTAGGGACCGCTAGAGCTGGTACGACCCGGTGGGACTCTGGGTCCTGTGCCCGCCGGGAGTGGGCTGCAGAGTTCCGGGTATCTCGGCCCCTCTCCTGTCTGGGGGGAGCGGCTTCTCTCCTGTGCTCCGGCCCCCCAGTCCCCGCCAGCCGCCTCCTCCCCCCTCCGGAGCCGGCACCTGTTCCTGCTCTCTGCACCCTGCGTCTCGTCTCGGAACGGAAACGCTGCATTTCCCGCTCCCGGCCTCCCAGGTCATTAATAATTCAGAACATCTTCGTCTTGGATTTCGCTCTCTGGGCACCGCCTAAGCCCCAAGTATGTCACTGAGGCTGTCCTCCCCCACTCCCGTCCCCGCGGAAACTTCCCAAACCCAGTTCTTCCCTGGAGAAGAACTGTCACGGAGTAACGGTTCACGTTACGGAGACGTTCGTGGGGCAGAGCTCACAGGTTGGGTACAAAAAGCGTTTTGTCCTCTGGAGGACTCGGCCGGTCTCAGGAGGCCCGGCCTGTGGCAGCCCTGGGTGAAGGCCGGCCTCGGGGACTTTGCTCTCCCTGGGGAGGCAGGTACCCCAGACACCCGCAGGGGGACAGTGACAGGTCAGACACAGCCAGCCCCGGCCGCCCGCATTGCCTCCGTTTCCAGTTCTGCTTCTGGTTTGATGAAAATCTTCCACCTTTTTTTTTGTTTTCTCTCGATTTTGCTCTTCTGTTTGTTCTTTTGGTGAGGGGAGGGCACCTGGAAGTGCTTGGTTGGGGGCGTTCGGGGGACCCCGCGGGGCCAGATCTGGAACCACAGCGTGTGCACGCGCCCTTTCACCCTGGGCCCTCTTCAGTCACTCTGTTTGTTTTTGGGTTTGGGTGGGGGCGGGCGCACCCGCAGGGTTCAGGGCTTGCTCCTGGCTCTGTGCTCAGGGGTCACCGCTGGGCATCAGAGCCGGGTCACCTCCGCGCGAGGCTGCGCCGTCCCTTCGGCCCCCGTTCGCTCTGTCTGAGGGCCCAGGGCATTTCTCCGGTGTAGACCTTCACGTCCAACGCGAGCGCGTGTGTGAGTCACCTTCCCACGCCGGAGGGACAGGCCCGCCCGTGGCCACAGCTGCGTCCCTGCGTCCGGCTTCTCGGGCCACCTCGCACACTTTCCCCACGAGAAAATAACCTCCGGGAAAAACGCTGAAAAGCGGAATCAGGCTCTTCGGGGCAAGTTTCAAAGCTCGGGGGGAAAAAGTTTTTAAGACTATGGGCTGGAACGGAGAGGGAGCTTGCCCTGACGCAGCCGGCCTGGGTTCGAGCCCCAGCAGCATGGGATGCCGGCTGGGGCTGCCAGGCGGGCTCTGTTTAATGACTGTGCCGCAAGGGCCGCCAGAGGTCGTCCATAGCCCGTGCCCCTCCCCCCTCATCATTCCTCCCCCTCCCCCGTTTCTTCACCCTCCTCCCTCCCCTCCTCCCTCCTCTTCCTTGTCTTCTTTGCTCTCCTCCTCTCCCTCCTCCTCGATCTTCTTCCCTCTCTCCCTTCCCTCCTCCTCATCTTCTTCCCCCTCCTCCCCTCCCTCCTTCCTATCTTCATCCCCCTCCCCCCTTCCCTCCTCCCCATGTTCTTCTCTCTCCTCCCCTCCCTCCTCCTCCTTATCGTCTTCCCCCTCCTCCCCTCCCTCCTACTCCTCCCCATCTTCTTCCCTCTTCCTCCCCTCCCTCCTCCCCCTCCTCTTTCCCTCCTCCCCCCCCCCCCGCCTGTCCCCCTCCCCGCTCTGAAACTCCTCGTTTCTCCTTCTGGCCGCAGGGATGACTCGGTCCCGGAGGACAACATCTGGAGGGGCATCCTGTCGGTGGGCTTCTTCTTCCTCATCATCAGCGTCTTGGCGTTCCCCAACGGTGAGTGGGGCCCCGAGCGGCCGCTCGTCTTCTCCACGGGAAAGGAGGAGGTAGGGTCAGAACAGAGGCTGCCGGCACAGCGGGGAGGGGTCTGGCCTTGCACCTGGCCGACCCGGGTTCGATCCCCAGCATCCCATGCCGTCCCCGAGCCCCGCCAGGAGTCAGCCCTGAGCATCGCTGGGTGTGGCCCCCCCCAAGCCAGCCAAAAACCGAAGCACAGACGTGCACTTTGCGGTGCCGGGGTGGGGGGTGGGAGACGAGGCCCTCAGCGGGAAGGCCGGCCACCCCCTTCCCCGCTGCCCCTCGGGGTTCCCGCTCTCCGTCGGGTGCTTGGGTTTCTCCCTGGGAGCAGGAGGGTCGCAGGCGAGTCCGGGGAGACGCTGGGTCACTGGCTTAGGGTCCCCCCACCCCCTGCGAAGGGGCGCCCCTCGCACTCCCCTGGGGTTCCCGAAACCTCTCCCCTCCCGGCTGCTGTTCTAGAAAGCGCCATGGCTCATAGGGTGGAGGTCCGGGTCTCCGCGGGTGAGGGGGAGCCGTTACTCCGGGGAACTCGCCCTCCCCGGACCATTCCGTGAGGCAGGAGCTCAGGTGCTCAGGGCTGGCTGCTGGCGGGGCGCAGGGGCTCGAACCCGGGCCGGCCATGTGCAAGGCGAGAGCCCTCCCAGCCTTGCTAGGTCCAGCCCCCGGTCAGGATGGCTCGGGAGGGCCGAGGCGTGTCGGGCCGGTGCTTCTCCTGCAGACGGTTTCCGCGTGGGACGTTGTGTCCCAGGCACCGTCCCCGACCTCACAGTCCAGCATGGCTGCTTCTTGCTTTCCCCTGATTCTCTGCCTGTTCCTAAAGCTGGCGGGCAGGGCCAGGCGGCTCAGGGGCCACGGTCCTGGGGCAGCATCTTCAGGCCCACCCACACAGGAGCAGGAGCGGGAGGGCCCCCGGGACCCTCGCTCGCGGACGGCGGTTCCAGAATGTTCTCTTTGGGCCATGCAGTGCCTAACTGTGGAATGGGCCTGGCCCTGGGCACTGCCCCCCAGGCAGGGGCTCTCGGCCGTTTCCAGGCGGTGTCCAGGCCAGGGGGGAAATGTTTGCTCCCCAGAGGGTCCTCACGGGGCGGTCAGGCCAGGACATCAAGGAGGCTGCCCCGAGGGTTCTGGGGCCTGGGCGCGGGCCTGGCCTGTGGACTGTGAGCAGCCCTGTGTGGGGGACCCTCCACGTCTTTTCCTGGTCTGGAGCTGGGCTGCAGGACACGGGACGGGAAGTGGTCACGCTCCACGGAGACGGCCCACGTGAGTCCGTGCCTGGCCACGGCAGGGGGTGAGGGAGGAGCGGCAGGGCCGAGACCCCAGCCCAGAGCTGTCACGACCCTTCCTGGACACCCCCAGCCTCTGCCGGCCTGGCCGGGCAGTGGATGGGCCCCCCGCCCCCCAAGTTTCAGGACGGAGCTCTCCCTGCCCTCCGTGTCCTGCTGCTTCTGACTCTGCTGGGGACAGGCCATGGGGCCTCTGCTCTGCTCAGCCCCACCCACCCCACCCCACCCCCCCCAGCCTTATCTGTGTCCCCAGGCCCAGCTCGCCCACAGCCCTGGGAGGAACTTCCCTCTTTGTGGGAGGACAGCGCGCGCGGTGACCCAGAGCGGAGCCCCAAATCCAGGCGGCACTCACTACCTCCCAGGGACACTGTCCCCCTAGTCTGGAGTCCCCCGGGGTGGGGGGGAGTGAGCCCCCCTACCAGGGGCCTCTGAGTCTCTGTGTCTGTCCTGTCCGTCCTTCCTCTCGCTTATCCTGTCTCCTGGAGGTTGGGGGGTGGGTCTTGCCTTGCACGCCCCTAGGCGTGTTTCCCGGCACCCCCTAGGGTCCCCTGTGCCCTGCGGGAGTGACCCCTGGGTGCAGGACCGGGAGGAAGGCCTGAGCACAGCTGGATGTGGCCCAAATTCCGAAATCCAGAAGCTTCTCCTGGGCCCGAGGGGGCCAGACTCAGCTGGCCCCCCAGCCCCTTTTCAGAAAGGAAATCCTTCAGTGCCCCCCCCCATCTGCCTCACTTGGCACCCCCGAAGACCACAGCACCCACTTGAGGACACGCTGACCTACGTTGACCGACTTGGTTTTTTGGGCCACTCCCGAACTGACTCCTGGCTCTGTGCCCAGGCAGGGGGTCACTCCTCGTGGGGCTTGGAGGACCCTTGGGACTACCGGGGCTCGAACCCGGGTCGGCTGCGTGCAAGGCAAGCCCCCTTGCCAACCCCAGCCCATAGTTTTAAAAGAAAAACTTTTTTTTCTGAGCTTTGAAACTTGCTCAGAAGAGCCTGCCCCTTGTCAAGGGTTTTTCCTGGAGGTATTTTCTCGTCAGGAAAGCCTGTGAGGTGGCCAGAGAAGACGTAAACAGGGACGCAACTGGGGTTGCGGCTGCCGGGGAGCGCCCTGTCCTTCCGACCCTTCCGACATGGGAAGGCGACCCTCCCCGACAGCCGTCCCGGCTCCCAGTTCTGTGACCCGCTCCCTCCTGAAAGCCGCCTGCTCCCCAGATCAGATCAGATGTCTTCCAGTTGGCAAAGCAGAAAGGAGTGTGTGTGTGTGTGTGTGTGTGTGTGTGTGTGTGTGTGTCTGTCTGTCTGTCTGTCTGTCTGTCTGTCTGCCCAGGGAATCCCTCCAGCTGAGCTTGGCCATATGTGAGGGAAGAGTCTTACCCGCTCTCTAGTCCGTGTCTCTGTCTCTGTCTCTCTCTCTCTCTCTCTCTCTCTCTGTCTCTCCCTCTCTCTCCCTTTCTCCTTCTTGTTGCTGTCCCCACTCCCGAGGGGCTATACAGAACCTCCTTCCGCCCCTGCCTCTGCCCGGGCTGACCCGTGTTCTCTGCCCGCAGGTCCCTTCACGAGGCCGCATCCAGCCCTGTGGCGCATGGTGTTTGGTGAGTCCCAGCCCTGACCCCCTTTGCACCTGCAGCCCGGGGTGTGTGGGCTCGGCCCCCCCAACAGCGCCCCTTCCTTCCCCCGTTCTCGCTCCCCAGGCCTCAGCGTGCTCTACTTCCTGTTCCTCGTCTTCCTCCTCTTCCTCAACTTCGAGCAGGTCAAGTCGCTCATGTACTGGCTGGACCCCAACCTCCGCTATGCCACCCGGGAGGCGGATGTCATGGTAAGAGGTTGCGGGACAGGGCCGCACGTCTCTTGGGGACCCTGATCACCGATCGGCCCTGGAGGTGACATTCACGGGTCCCTGCATCCTGGTTTCCCGTCCCCATCAAGCCCGCAGTCCTTCCTGGGACCCGGAACCCCGAAGGGCCTCCCAGGGCCCTCCGGGGGGCTCCCTCACCCTCCACACCCTCCCAGAGCCCCCTGTGCCCTCTGCTCCCAGAAGGGCCCATTGGCCGGGCGTGGGCCACTTGCATGGGCCTGTGTGTGTGACGGTGACCCAGAGTTTGCTTCCTGCTGGGACGCCTGGTGGCGGCTCCCCCAGGACACTCCTGGTCCTCAGATGCTGGGGGCCAGCCATGGGGAGGGCCTATGGGGGTTTACTGGGGGGGACCCGAGCCTCGTGCAGGGGAGTGTGACGGCCTCTAAGGGTGTGTCTTGGCATGGCGCCGGACCAGACGCCATGTGGTGGCCTTTAGCGAGGGGGCCACTAAAGGCAGGAGCCTCAGGGAGGAATCTGGGGTTTCTTATTAAGGACGACGGCAGGCGTGGGCCGGGGAGAGAGCACAGTGGTTAGGGCGCCTGCCTTGCCCGTGTCTGACCCGGGCTTGCTCCCCGGAACCCCATAGGGTGAGCCCTTGCAGGGGTGACCCCCAAGTGCAGGGCCAGGGGGAAGCCTTGAAATTGAAAGGAGAAAGCCGCTAAGCAGACGGGTGTTTCCACGGTGGTCCTGGGGTCGAGCGGGCCCGCTGGGGCAGGACTGGGTGCCACAGGGTCAGCCGAGAGAAAGGACGCCGCCTGGCAGACGCCCTTCGCTGCCCTCCTGCGCTTGGCGAGCCCGGCCCTGCGGGTGGGATGGGGGCCTGGACAGGTCCCCCCAGGGTCGCTCACGCCCCGCCCGACCTGGCAGGAGTACGCGGTGAACTGCCACGTGATCACCTGGGAGCGCCTGGTCAGCCACTTGGACATCTTCGCCTTTGGGCACTTCTGGGGCTGGGCCATGAAGGCGCTTCTCATCCGCAGCTACGGGCTCTGCTGGACCATCAGCATCACCTGGGAGCTCACGGAGGTAGGGAGGGACGCCCGGCCAGCCCAGCCCGGGGGGGACTCGAGGGGGAGACCGCGACCCCCACGCGCTGGCCGGGGAGCACTGGGTCGGGAGCTCCGGGGAGCGGCCGGGATGTGGCGGCCCTTAGCAGCCCCGCGTCTCGGCACTCCCCCGTCGGTCTCGTGGGACGGCGAGACTCAGACTTGAAGACAGCCACAGAGTGAAATTGGCTGGGAGGGGCCTGATTCCTTCGCACCGGAGTTCACAGTCACAATCACGACCATCCTGTTATTCGTCGATTGCCTCGAGCAGGCCCCAGTAACATCTCCTTCGTCCTAGCCCTGAGATTTTTTTAAAAAGTGCCATATTCAAGGCTCTTTCAGAGTTAGGAGAACGAGACCCGTCATTGTTACTGGTGTTTGGCATATTGGGTACGCCACGGGGAGTTTGCCAGACTCTGCCCTGTGGGCAGGCTACCGAATGTAGCCAAAGTTTGTCCAAAGTAGGAATGAGATGATAAGATGTCGCTTCTGGGAGCTGGGTTTTATAGTCTCTGAGTCTTGGCCGCCGATGGGATTACACGGCGCCAGGGGGCCAGTTGGTGGGTGTGACCCCCGCCTACTGGAATTTGGAGGATCTGGGTGGAGGATGCTCAGCCCCGATCCGAGCAGGGTTGGAGATCTCAGCCCCGGGACCCGCGTGTCTTTGTTCCTCTGCCGGTACCTTCATGCGTGTGGAGAGTGGTCTCAGCATGGCGGTGGCTGGTTCTGGAGTTATTCATGGTGATTCATCATTCCCCAGGAACAAAATCAGCCACCAGAGCCCCCTTTACCTAGTTGTTCCCCTTTTTTCTAGAATGTTTTCTTCTTCATCTGGTTTTTTTGGGGGGGGGGCGGGAGGGGCCACACCTGGTGGTGCTCAGGTGTTTCTGCACTCAGGAATCACTCCTGGTGGTGCTCGGGGGACCCTATGGGATGCCAGGGATCGAACCCAGGTTTGGCTGTCTGCAAGGCAAATGCCCTCCCCGCTGGGCTCTCCCTCTGGCCCCTTCTGAGCCGTCGTTGCTGTGCTCGGTGGCCCTTCCTGTCCGCGTCCCTTCTCTCGGGGCCAGCAGCTCGAAGCATCTCTTTCGTCCCCACCAGGCCCCGTTGTCTCTGCGGTGACACTGGCCCCCACAGAGCGAATTTGATGCTTCTGGGTGACGGCCTGGTTCCCGTCTGGACTTGGGCCCGGGGTCGCGGCTTCATAGTGGCACCTCTGTGAGGCCACGGCCCTTCCCCGGGCAGGACCCCCGACCGCGTTCTGTGTCCCCGCCTGGACACCTGCCAGGCCACTCCCTGCTGCCCGCTCTGACGGCCACCCCGGTCTCTTCGGGTCCCCGGGGGGAATGCACCTGGCCTGAGTGTGCCAGGCTGCCAGCATGTGCCCAGGCAGTGCCCTCAGCCCTGGGCGCTCGCAGCCAGGGGCCGCCCGGAGCCATCAGGAGGCGGGTGTTGGAGAAAGGTGCTCTCCGGATCTAATTCAGCACAGACCATCCAGACCCAGGCCCTGTGTCCTTCCCTTGGCCTCTTGGTGGAGGGGGGGGCAGTGGGCTGGTGCGCCCTCCCCTCCCCGGCATGCCCGCAGCCCCCGATGTGGCCATCACGCCGCCCCCTGCCCTGCAGCTCTTCTTCATGCACCTCCTGCCCAACTTCGCCGAGTGCTGGTGGGACCAGGTCATCCTGGACATTCTCCTGTGCAACGGCGGCGGCATCTGGCTGGGCATGGTGGTTTGCCGCTTCCTGGAGATGAGGACCTACCACTGGGCCAGCTTCAAGTGAGCCCCCCACGCCCACCCGCACGGCCGCTTCCCCCCAGGCTCAGCCCACCCCCTCTCTTTTTCTTTCTCTCCCTCTCTCCCTCCCTCTCTCCGTCTCTCTCTCTTCCTCCCTCTCTCTCCCTCCTCCTCCCTCCCTCTCCGTCTCTCTCTCTTCCTCCCTCCCTCTCTCCCTCCCTCTCTCCATCTCTCTCTCTTCCTCTCTCTCTCCCTCCTTTTCCCTCCCTCTCTGTCTCTCTCTTCCTCCCTCTCTCTCTCCCTCTTTCTCCCTCCCTCTCTCCCTCCCTCTCTCTCCATCCCTCTCCTTCTCTCTCCCTCTCTCTCCCCCTCCCCCGCTCCCCTTGCCCCGACGTGGGGGGAGCAGGGCTGTACCCCTGGCCTGTGCCAAGATTTTGTTATGCCCTTGGGGCTGGTGGTCCCCGGTGCCCCCATGCCCCCCATCCCAGCCCTCAGCCGGGCGGAGTCGCTTGGTGAGACTGTCCTGGCTCCCCATGTCCCCCACCCCCGGTCACTGGCGCTTCTCTCCCAGGGACATCCACAGCACCACGGGCAAGATCAAGAGGGCCGTGCTGCAGTTCACGCCGGCCAGCTGGACCTACGTGCGCTGGTTTGACCCCAAGTCGTCCTTCCAGAGGGTGGCGGGCATCTACCTGTTCATGATCATCTGGCAGGTGACACTCGCCGGGAGGCGGAGCTGGGAGTGTGTGTGTGTGTGTGTGTGTGTGTGTGTGTGTGTGTGTGTGTGTGTCTACACATGTGGGTCTGCACCTGTGTGCATGTGTGTGCCCGTGAGTAGGTGTGCATAGGGGAGGTGTGTGAGTGTGCATACACGCGTGTTCAAATGTCTACACGTGGGCAGGTGCACGTGTGTCTGTGGATGTGTGTGCGCGTGTGTGAACTTGGGTGTGCATCCTGTGTGTATGCAACTGCGTGTGTGTGCGTGAGTGTGCAAGTGAGCACACGTGTGTGTGTGTGACTGCACACGTGAGTGCATGTGTAAATGCCTGAGCCTGTGTAAATAGGTTCCTGGGAACACACACGTGTGTACGTGAGTGTAACTGTGTCCACGTGTGTGAGCCGGCAGCCCGAGGGTGGCCCCGTGTTGGGCCCGCAGCCGACTGACCGTCCTCCTCTCGCAGCTGACCGAGCTGAACACCTTCTTCTTGAAGCACATCTTCGTGTTCCAGGCCAGCCACCCACTCAGCTGGTGTCGGATCCTCTTCATCGGCGGCATCACGGCGCCCACCGTGAGGTGAGTGCCCGCGCCCGCCCCGGGAGACCGGCCGCCCTGGCGCCCTGCTGAGTCACTTCCCACTCTGTGCCCGGGCACCCCCGAGGGCAGCTGCCGGATGCTCGGTTCTGCCAGGTGTCAGAGGGTGGGAGCAAGCGTGTGCGGGCAGGGCTGGGTCCCCTGCACCCCGTATGGTT